CCATAAATTAAAAGAGTTAGAGTTTACAGTATTTATTTCCATCTCTATTATTTAATTCTGTCGCCCACCCTTTTAAATAAAACAAAAGACATTTACACTTAGGGGGAAATTTTCTTGTGCGATTAAATTCGATTAATTACAAAGCCTCTAATTAATTAGATTTTTTTTTAATTGAGTCCCACCCCTACTAAAAACACATCTTTTTTTAAACTTGCTTTTGGTTGATTTTTGTTTTAATGTTTTAGTTTTTCTGTGAAGCACTTTGTGATTTTTATTTTGAAAAGTAATATACAAATAAAATGTTACTTTACTTTACAAAGACCAAGACAGACTTTTAATTCATTTGAAAGCCTGATGCTCAGCCTTGTTCACTCTAGCTGCAAAACTCAAAATCCAGTGTTATTTGTGATCATCTATCATCCACCTGGGCTTTACACAGTTTCTCACTGATTTTTTTTTGTCTGATTTAGTGCTCAGCTCAGATAAAATAATTATTGCGGGTGATTTTAACATCCATGTAGATGCTAAAAATGACAGCCTCAACTCAACATTTAATCTGTTGTTAGACTCAATTGGCTTTCTTAAAATATAAAAGAACCCACCTGCACTCTGGATCTTGTTTTAACATATGGGGTAGAAATGGAACATTTAACAGTGTTTCCTGAAAACCCTCTCATGTCTGATCATTTCCTGATAACATTTAAATTTACAATAATTGATTACACAGCAGTGGGGATTAGACCTTATCACAAAAGGTGTTTTTTTCTGAAACTGCTGTAACAAAGTTTAAGAATATAATCCACCCACTGTTATCATCTTTAATGCCCTATACCAACACAGAGCAGAGCAGCTACTTGAACGCTACTCCAACAGAGGTCAATTATCTTGTTAATAATTTTGCCTGCCATATGGGACTGGATACTGTAGCTCCTGTGAAAAATAGAGCCTCAAATTCAGAACTACTTGGCTCCCTGGTATAATTCTGAAACATGTAGCTACTTTTAGTACCATTTAGTCTTTTTCTCCAATTGATCTTTCTGAGTTAACTTTAGTAATTACTTCCTCAAAACCATTCCTACAACACTGCTCAAAGACGTCCTGCCATTAATTAATGCT